CTCCTGACCCGCCCGCTGCTCCCCTCAGCAGTGTACTTCGTCGATCTGCCTGTTCTGCTCCCCACTCTGTCTCTGGTGAAGCCTCTCGCCGCTCCTGAGTCTCTGGCCTGTACCCCAGTTCTGTATGCACAAATAAATAAATCTTTAAAAATAAATAAGTAAATAAATAAAATAAACTATTGTAATCAAATTTTTAAAAGTTAAATCAAAAAGAAATTTCAATGGGAGTGACCAGGTGAAGGAAACTCAGTATCTGTCATACTTATTTTAGTTAGTTGGGGGCTAGTTGGGAAGATCATGGGGGTGGAGTCAGGACCTCAGAACTTCCTAGGTCTCAGTTCTGCTGCGAGCAGGAAGGGACCAGGAGACTGAGAGTGTCCATCACTTCCCCGGGAAAAGATGAGATGAGTGAACTACACTGTAGGCTCCACCACAAGAACATGTAAAGGTGCTCAGCCTCAATAATCAGGGAAATGCAAGTCAAAACCACCAAGAGCCATCACCACACACTTGGAACAGTGGCAAAACTATAAAGGATGCTGGCAAGGATGTTGAGAAAAGGGAACCCCAGTTTGGTTGGAATGTAAATTGGTGTAGTCACTATGGAAACCACAGAGGTCCCACAAACAAATTTAGAATAGGACTACCATATAATCCAGCAATCACACATCACCCAAAGGAAATGAAAACATAGGACTCAAAGATACCCACATCCCCTATTCATTATAGCATTGCTCACAAAAGCTAAATATGTAAACCTAAATGAATAAAGAAAGAGAAAGTACGATAAAGCTACAGATGTGTGAATATTATTCAGCCCTGAAAAGGAAATCCTGTGATTTGCAGCGTCATGGATGGGCTTTGATGGTATTATCCTAACTAAAATAAGTATGACAGATACTGTATGATTTCACTTATGTGTAGAATATGTGCTTTTAGAAAGTCATAGAAAAAGAGATCAGTTTTATGGTTACCAGAGGCTAAGCAGGGGGCAAGTGGAGAAAGGTGGCCCAAAAGTACAAACTTCCAGGTAGAAAATAGACAGCACTGGAGATGCAGTGGACAGCACAGAGGCCAGCATTAATTGACACTGTTGGATCAAGTATGTGAAAATTGTCAAGAGAGCATATCCTAAGAGTTCTCATCACAAGGGAAAAAAAAGTCTCCTTTTTTCTTATCTATATGAGAAGTTAATTCACTGTAGTAGTCATTTCATAACATATGAAAGTCAAATCATTATGGAGTACTCCTTCAACAGTGCTGTGTATGTCAATTATATCTCAATAAAACTGCAAGAAAGAAAAAAAAAAAAAGCTGTGGGCCCCAAAGAGCACACAGAGGGAGTCAGCATGTGTGTGCCTTAAAAGAGCCACGAGTTCTTTCTTCAGAGCAGAGCAAGAGAGAAAAATGGAGGAGGCCCTGTTCCAATTACTGTTGCAATTACTACCAGCAGCTTTTGCAATTGTCAGAACAAAAAGGCAAGGTCCGGAAGTCTTTCAAGCATTGCCCTACTTTACATGAAAGTGACACAGGTCCACAGTGATCCATTGTTCCTAACGGAGAGATGGAAGCTTTGATGGTCATGAAATGTATTTGCTGGGACTGCAGTGAAGGGTGGAAGGCTCATTTGGAAGAGGGTCCACGATCTTGCAAGCAAACAAAGGCAAACATGCCCACCCAGGAGAGAAGCAGCAGCAGGCACACTGGTGCCAGACCTTGCAGGTCAGACTCCAGGGTTGGGGGGACCCCATGGTCTCCCATGGGCTTGCTGAAGTCAGTGCTGACTACTCTGGATCCAGGGACACCAAGAGGGAAATGAAGGGCCCACCGGTAACGGCTCCACCTGCTCACCTGCAGGGCCTCCTGGAGACTCCTCAGGCTCACTAGCCAGTCTGGCTCCTTGTCCTTGTCCCCGCGGCGTCGTTCTAACAGCAAAGGATCTGACAACTTCAGTTTCTCTGCTAGCTGTGCCAGGTTTCCAGACGAGTCCATAAGAAAAGGGAAAGGAGAGAAGAGAAATGCATAGACAATCAGAGAGAGGCAAGAAGTGGGGAAAGAGAAAGAAAACGAGAACGTTAATTGTACTCACTTGTAAACCTGAGTATGAAGAATAACTGAGAGGTAGCAAATTCAGCAGATATCTTCCCAAAATTGCACATAAATAAACAATTAACTCAACGTGGTGTTAGATGCTAAATAAAATATGAGGAGAAACTGTGTTTTCTCGTTTTATTTCTTCTGCAAAGCTCTGTAGCAGCTTTGGAAACTTCAGTACACACAGGAATCCCGAGACCTTTTCCAATGTTAATTCCGATTCCCAAAACCTGGGTGGGGCCTGAGATTCTGCATTTCAAACAAGCTCCCAGGTGATGCCACAGGGCTGAGAGAGGGATTGTTTTGTTTTACAAAGGACTATTCCACAGTGGTCCCCAAACTTTTCTAGCCTCCATTCCAGGTCCCAGAGTTCCCTAGAACTAGCACCCTATTGGCAGAAATTTTAAGACAGGAGTACTCAGCGTCAGAGAGTTGTCTGGTTACAAAACCTAATGCTTGGGCATTGTCTAAAGCAAAACCAAATTTGACAGTATTACTCCCCAGCAAATGGATTCTTCTTCAATTAACTGGGACAACTACTTGCTGGACTGTTTTCTTGCTCCCAAATCTGAGGTTGATATGTTTTTATTTTCTTTTTAACATGCATCCCACATGTGACAAGTATTCTGTGCCTTTAAAAAATTTTTAGTAAGGATCATTTCCTGTTTTAATCACTAAGATTTCCTAAGCACAGATTTTATCATTAGAACAGTTCACAGTAAACACACAAATTTACTGTACCAGAAAAGCAGATGCAGGAATGTATGTCTCCCATAAACACATGCCTGGCTTCCATTCCATGGTTCCCCTGCCCATTGCATCTCTCTTTGTAAGGTGTCGGGCCTCTGCTTATCACATCTGGGCATGCAAGCATGGTCAAAGACAGTCATGGGCTCGATTTTACATCATGTCCAAGGCAGATGAAATGTGGAATCTAAGCTGCTTTAGAATAGCTTCCTCTGAACACAGAAGATAAAACACCTGCAGAGAACCTTTGAGAAGCTCACCTTGATGAGTTCCACTAATAGTACAGGGTGACTGCTCTCTCCCTGGCTAAGGAGGGCCGTGCCAATGGCTTCACAGTAATGCAGGGCCTGAGATGCCAGGCCGTAATCTGCCAGCCGTGAAGCATAAAGGAGTTTATACACCTGTGAAGAGGAACAGGGCCAGTGACTCGTCTGTCCAGGCAGGGAGAAAACCAGAGAGAGAAATGTAGATAAGACTTCTTGGAAGTCAGCTGATTGCCCATTTCCACCAAGTGTGGCAGCCAAGTAGCAAGGAGGGCCTTGTGCCATGTGGGGCACTTTTACCCAAGCCCAGTCTGTGGGTCCTGCATTCCAGAGACAGGGATGGAATCCACGGCAGGCCCATCTCCCTTGGCCCCGATCACCAGGGAAATGACAGATCAGGCACTCTGGAGAGGCTGATGTATATGCAGGCACGAGGCAGAGGACCAGATACCAGTGGGGGCAGCTGGGGAAACATATATAAAAGGAACAAAAAGAGGCCACAGAGCAAAGAGCTTACAGCCCACAGCAGCACACAGACAGCTACAGAAGCAGTGACAGGGTCAGAAAGAATGTGAGGGCTTGGGAGTCAGATAGACCCAAGTTCAAATCCCAGCTCCTGTGGGATGCTGGATGTGGAGCACTCTGCTAGCTGCCCCACCTCTGTGCCTCAGTTTCTTCATTATAACATGCAGATAATAATAATAATACCTACTATCATATATATATATATGTGTGTGTGTGTGTATATATACATATATATATGTATGTATATATGTATATGAGTATTCATCCCTTGTTTCTCATAAAGATTAAATGAAAGAACCCATGTAAAGTACTTAGAACAGATGGCATTCTGGAGATGTGAGCCCTGTTAACTCTGCTGACCCTCAGTTTCCTCTTTTAAAAAGGAGTGAGCATTAGACATAACATACTAACAACGTAAAGCATAATGCAATATCATTAAAATTCACTGATCTCATTCCTCTCAAGTTCAAAGACAGCAGAAAAGTGACATGATGAAAGAAGACAAAGAAAGAGCCCAATGTTTCCCCTCATTGTGCAAAGCTTTGTTGCAGAAGGTAAATTGCAAAAAACTTTAAAAAAAGACGCATGGGTCTCTTCTGCCCATACAGAAATTCATTCACCGTGTTCATCATTGTGTCTGTCTTGTGCTTCCTGTTGGGGTGTGAATGTGTTGTGTGCTATTGCTGTGCGTAGTTTCCATCCAGGAAGCAGTCCTCAGGAACTTGGGGTGACAGCTGGGCCTTAGCTAGAGAAGTCTGTCATCAGGAAGACTGCGTTATGGCTGCCAGCTGCACAGATAAAGCCCCGAGGGGAAGAACTATGGGGAAGAAGGCCAAGGACAAAGAAGAGAGGCCCTTCCAGAGTGGGACAACATCCGGTGCCCAAAAGTGACAGAAGCAGCCCAGGAGCAGGTCCCGGAATGGACCCTTGGCCAGCGGGAGAGCTGTGAGAGCTGAGGCTGTAGAGCTTTTTGGGGAGACAGACAAGCAGAAGGAGGTGCAGAGCTTGTGACCATGATGCCACAAGGGAATCAGCAAGGCCAAACCTCCAGCAGAGAGGCCTCTGCAACATCTTCTGTTTGTCTGTTTGTTTTGGCATATCTTGAAAATGCAGACCTTTAGAGAACCAAAAATTTATGCTACCCCTTCCCAGGCTCAAGCTAATGAAGAAAATTTCAGGTGCTATGTGCAAAGAGCAAAGCTGAAAATCCAGCTTCCATGGCTGCCAGACACAGCTGAGGTGGAGGCCTCCTGTGGTTCAGTTACCTGGAAAGAAGGGATGAAGGATTTGGGGCGGCCCAGCATCTGACAATACTCGAAGATCTCCGTCCTCTGGATTGCCTCTGTGGTTGCAAATGTCAAAAACGCTTGACTGAAATCAGGGAATAATAACAAAAGAGACTGAGCGAGTTTGTGGGGACTTTATCAGGGGCTGAATTCCCTGAAAACAGTCCAACACCAGCAATGCTCATTCATGCAGTTTTAGCCAGGGCTGGAAGATACTCCAGAGTCCAAGTTCTGCCTCCTCTCTGTTCATATTGGGAGGCTGGGGAAGGACAGGGCCGCACCTGCACCACGACACTAGGAGCAGAAACCGAAAGTCAGGGTCTCCCACTTTCTTTGCTGGTGGGTAAGTGAAGGCAAGTTTTTCCCCACCCCAGCTCTAGGCACTGGGCACACCAGTTCAACATCTGCAAGGGAATCTCAGGGTCTCACAAGCCCCTGGAAAGAACCATGCTGGGCCTGAGCAAAACAGCCCAAAAGAGAAGGATGTGATGCTCCAGCACAGGAAAGAGAAGGGATAGAGACGCAGGAGGGGGCCTGTCAAGTGAAGTCCTTATGCTGGGCGTCCACTCAGCCAAAGGAAGCGACCTGCGCAAAGGAGACCCCAGGGGCCATCTGAGTCCTCAGGAGCCCTAAATCCCACCTCAACACCTTGTCACTGTGTTTGAACCACAGTCACCAGGGATAGGCCTGGGCTTGAGGCTATCACCCCAGAACTCTCTTCTTTTGCACAAACAGAAGGGAGCCCATGACTGTTACCATGGTGCAGATGGACCTCTCTGACAAGTGAAGTGTGAACTACTAGAGACCAATGTCCGCAGAGATGGTTCTTTGGACAGCAGTAGGCATCTTACTGCAATAGTTCAAAGCAAGGTGACCCCATACTAACTGTACTGTATTAGAAAAGCTGTTTAACCTCTCTATGCCTCGGTTTCCTTCTAAAAAGTGGAGAATAAAAATATGGCTTCTTGGCCCTTCCTTGGTGGCACAGCAGGTTAAAGCACAGCACTGAGAAGCTAAAGCCACTTCCGCATGAGTTCCATCCCTGCCTGCCCCGGAGGTGACCCACATGGCGTGGCAGACCTCTCCTGGCCCGCCCGCTGCTCCCCTCAGCAGCGTACTTCATCGACCTGCCTGTTCTGCCCCCCTCTCTGTCTCTGGGGAATCCTCTCACTGCCCTTGCACTTCTGGCCTGTACCCCAGCTCTGTATGCATAAATAAATAAATCTTAAAAAATATATATGGTGGTCCTCCCTGGTGGTGCCGTGGGTTAAAGTACTGCACTAAGAAGCTAAAGCCACTTCCGCATGAGTTCGATTCCCGCCTGCCCCGGAGGTGACCACATGGCATGGCAGAACT